CATTGTCTTGTTTTATCACATTTAGATTATTCAGCAATATTTTTAATACAAATTAATGCTACTTTGATGCTATCTCTAGAGAAACAGTTGAACTGGGCGTTAAAAAGAACATATTTCAGATCGAAATTTAAATCTTCTTGCCTTCTTCGCATTAGCAAATCGTTCATTGGAGTCGAGAAAAGAATTGAGTTAAAGTGTATAACATACTTATACCAATATCTTACAAACAAAAAGAAGGCTTTTCAAAATACATTGAGACTACCGACTGCCAATTATAGGCTCAACAAAAGAACGAAACAAATTGTTTTTGACAAACATTGTTCAACCGCTTCTCTACAAAAATCATTTTTCATTTGACTTCTAAAAAATGGAATTCACTGCCCATAATTTTGCGCAATTTAGAAAAATCGAGAACAGGATTCAAGAAAAAATTGAAAGAATTTTACGTGAGTGAATTGAGAAACAATCCAATATGTACAAATAGCAATACGTGGCGTGATTTCCGTTTTTGCTAGTTCTATATGCTTTAATTTAGTTTAATTTTTCACACATTGTTTGAAAGAGAATCTGTATATACTCTGTATATACGCTGTATGTTTGGACTATCTGTAAAATTGTTTGTAAAGTTTTAATACCAGCTCGTTCTTAACTCTTAAAACCGATGTTTTTTTTAGTATCCGTAACTTCATATATTTTAATCAACCAATTTCTGAACTGTAACCGAACTTGTTTTGTTTTGTTTTGTTTATTGCTTGTTTTCTGATGTTGTGTTTTTGTTTGATGTAACCAATGAATTTTAACCAACTTTATTATTTACACTTTGCTATACTGATGCCTCGGCTTTTATTGTATAGTAATTCAGGTGTTCTTTCTTCTTCTTCTTCAAGTAGTAAGTTACTTATACTTACTAGTAAGTTTCAAAACTCAGGCTCTGCTTGAAAACTACCAAGTTTGAAGACCATTCATTTTGGACAAACTCAAAATCCGTGAAAGAATCATTATGATCAGTATTATCATGTAAAAGGAAGTTGCAGTATAGAAAAACAACTTTATCTGCTCTTTCGACTGATAATTGAGCCTCATTTCTTTCAAAAATTTCATTTTGGTTCAACTAACTAGTAATAAGGCTGATTTTACTTACTAGTAATTTACTAGTACATTTACTAGTAATTTACTTACTAGTAAGTAAATCCGCACAACCCTAATAGCAAGGGTATTGCAATTTGATACTAGGCTATTTCCCGTAAACAACTTTGTCCACGAGACCTCAGGTGGCACATTGCTTCAAAATGAATTCAAATTTTGTAATGTCTCTTGCTGGTGGTAACAAATACGCCTAGGACGGCAAAGGTAATGGGTTCGAATATGACCAGGACCAGTTTTTTTTTTTCAAACGGGAAATGTTCCTGTTCAAAAAATTTCGGCCTTTTATTTGTCTGCATATGTTTTGTCGACTTAGTTGCCACATCTGAGAATCGTTAATTTTTAACTGTAAGCAGTTTTCACTGCTGTTGTTCTTAGCATTTTAATAATCCGGCCGAATCGAAATTTGCTTTTTACATTGGTTGTTATTTTACCAGCTCTATTTGTTAGAATTTCACTTTTTTCCGTCTTTTTTTATCGGCCTCATAAATTTTGGTTTAAGTAATATCGAATTGATGGCCTCTTATTGCGTCGTTACCTCCGAAAAAAAAGTTTTTGTGCGTGCGAATGTGCTCTGAGGGGAAAAGAGACTTAACAGTTTTTTTTTAAATATTGAATTTTTTGATTTTCTTTTCGGCATGAAGGGTTTCTGCTCAGATTTTTCGGCTTTGTTACCGCTTGGTATTTGTAAGTTCACATCCAATCAACATCCGGCGCATCTGGCGTAGAGTTGAAAACAACTGCTTGAGACGACAAAAATTTGCGGTCGAATCCGGCTGGGCTCGTTTTTGCAAAGAAGAATTTTTGTGCTTTTTCGGGTTATCGCCGTCTGTTTTTTGTCGGCTTAGTTCCCGTAGCACGATGGTTCAGCTCTATTCTAAGTTGCTGTAACCCCCATGCTTGAGACGACAAAGCCTGGCTGATTTAGATTGTATGTCTGCTTAGTTTTGTCTGCTTAGTTCCTCAAAAAGTTTTTTTTTGAAAACATGGCTTCTGTATAGCATTTCCAAAGCTCTTTGTAGAGTTCCTAATGGTGCAGGCTACTTTGTTCCGGATATTTTGTGCTGTTGTTGCATTTTTTTTGACAATACTGATTTTTTGAATTTTTTCCGTTTGATTTTAATAGTCATTCATATTTGTATCGCAAGTGGTGCGAAGCTCAGCTTCACCTCGTATTGAAGCTGCGGTCCTTAAAAATATAAATAACTTTCTGCTGACTTAGAGTTTGCTCAAAATTTTTGTTTTCAGACCATGTAGACTCTGCATTTTTTAATTGCACTTTGAGTCAAAATTAAGCGCAATCTCAGGTTGTCTTTCTAAAATGCCGGTTTTCAATGTCCGTTTTTGGCAACTTTTACGTAAAGTTTTCGCAAGAGTTTTGGTCGGACCAAGAGCAATTGTCTAGAGCTATTCACTTGTCATTTTTCTCTAGGTCACAAGAATGGAATGAATGGAGTTCTGCTGTAATTTTCTACACTTGTCATTAATACGCTTGCGATTAACAAGCGTTATCAAATCGGAATGTAGACTTTTTTTCGGGTTAACAAAATAAGTTGAGTCACTATGCAGATTACATGCTCAATTTCATGAAAAATCAGGGTAGTGATAGGGGGACTTGGTAATTTTTTAAAGTTTCTTCTTACTAAATCAGTTGTTTTTTTTCTGCTCATTTGGTGTCTGCTCAAAGACGGTTGGCCTTGTTTCCGCTTCGAAGTTTTTACTCAGTTGCCAATTTGAGTTTCAGTTTGAGTTTCAGTTTCACTTGGCATTTTGTCTAGAATTACTGTTTGGTAAAAACAGGTATTATGAAAGTTTATGGGATTGGTTTTTTAATTTTTTTTTGGAACGCGTTCGAAAGTTTTATCACATTTTGCAAAAAATCTAAATTTTCTCAAACCCTTCTACCGATTTTCAAAAAAGGGTATGCATAAAAAGACCGCCTACCTTATTGTGTGCCAGCATACTCAACTGGTCTCTTCTTGCTTTGCCTTTTTTACCTACAGCCTTCGAAAAAAGTATGTGAGTGGAATATTTGACCGATAATTTTAATTTTTACTAGGTTTCTCAAAAAAATTAGCCTACCAAATTTGAGATTCTGATTTCATTGATTAGAGCGCATTTGAAAAGCTCCCTACGCCCAAATTTTTTCCCATAAAAATGGCCCTCGGAATAGTGAAAATTCTGATTTTTTTAATAGTTTTTTGAATCTTTTCGAACTATTCTCGAAAGCTAACCTCCCAAAAATGAGGTGGTGGATTCAATTGAAAAGACAAGTGATAAGAAGCTCTCCTGCTTTAGCGACCACTCACATTTTTTTAGACAAAAATTTTTGAGCATTTTAAAAAGTTTTGTGGATGATACCAAAAAACCCTACCATATCTAAGATTTTGGGTTCAATCCAAAGAACGGGTTGCGGGAATCTCATATGCGTCTACGCCTCCTAAATAATTATGTTCCTCAGAAAAGTCAAGTTTTGTTTCGAGAATTACTCTGCCAAACCTGGGTTTTTGGGTTTAATCGAAATTACAACTTGGTTGAATTTATTCGGCATAAGCGGCTACGCCCATTTTTTTAAAATCAAAAGGCTATGATACTCGGAATTGTCAACTGTCTGATTTTTTGAATGTTTTTTGAACTTTTGTCGCTAACTATCCTGCCAAATCTGATATCGTGGGTTAAATTGAAACAACAGGTTGTTAGAAGCTAAGCTTTAGCTAATCCAAACAAGTGAAAATTAACAAGTGGAAATTTTGGTTGTTTTTTGGAACTTTTTTACCCTGCTCGAAAATTACTGTGCCAACTCTCAAGTTTAGTTTTCAATCGAGAAACCCGATTTTGGGAATGTTTTCTACATCACCGGCCACGACCTGCTTTTTAACAGAAAAAAAATAACGCTTTTTAGCAACTCTTCGAGTTTTCTTAAATAATTCCTTGGTCTCTGTGTCAAATAATTCGAAACCATGGTTTTATCTGAGTGCCAAATTTCAAAAAAATATTTTTTTTTTCATAAATGATTCTGTAGTCCGCGAGCGTATAAGGATGTAGTCAGCCAGCGTCTATTTTTGTATCGCAAGTGATGCGAAGCTTCGTCTCTCCGCTATGCTTAAAAAAAACATCTTTTTTGAAAAATGTTATTCATAATCAGTTTTGCTGTTAGCGTTTATTTCATATTGTAAATAAAAGACAGATGTTTTCATAAAAGTTGACAATTGTGTTGCGACAAGTTTCGACTCCGTCATATTAGAGGTAGACGTACATGTTGATTTATTTCAAGAGATGAGACGATAAAAACTCAACAGGCGCATAAATGGTCGCCTCAGTGGGAAAAAAAGACATTGACGTTTATTAAATTTGCAGATTGTGCATTTCCTTTTAATGTAATACTGCCTGGCTTAAAACGTCAGATCAAATAAAATTAGCTCGGCCCCCAAAATCTGTTTGTTCAGTTTTGCACCGGGGTTCAAAGTTGATTTGTTGTTTCAACAGTCGTGTTACTCAATGTGCAAATTCACAAGTCAACACTTCCTTAAAATAATATTTTTGCTGTGATGGTTTTTTAAAGCTTTTAATCAAACGGGATCAGCCGAAAAAAAGCAAGAAATGCAAGGTCTAGTTGCTGTTCAGAATGGGAGCGAGTCTTCGCCTGCCAATTTTATCTTCAGTTAATCCGTTTGTTAAGACTTATCAAAAATATGACTGTTGTTTCACAGCTTCTATAATACTTGATTATGAATTACATTGGTCGATTTTGAGTGAAGTTTTACTATGTAATTTTGATCAATTGAAGTTGCTAATATTGAACGGCATTGGTGGTCAAATTACATTTTTAGTAAGAGTCGTATTTGGTATGCTACAATTTATAGATATCACCACCAACAGAAAATAGATCTGAAGTTAAATATTGGTCCTGATTTTTCATTGGTTAATAATTCGCAAATTTTATTCATCGCACTGATACCATAATATTTTAGATATTTTGTGGTGCGTGCAGTTTGCTTTGGTTAATGTTGTAATTACTATTTTCCATTTCTTTTTTTGGCATTTTTTATTATTTGTGTGTCCTGTTCAAATTCGTTTCTTGCACCATATTAATTAAATCAAAGCCTACGTGACACTTGATTTCTCTGTCGAAAGATATTTGACAGAATTTATTCAAAATTAGATTTATTGGCAAATATCTAAAGCTTGCGTTCACTTTTGAACCTTGTATTTTGTGAATATCTTGCTTACTCTTCACTTGCTTTTCAGACTAGGTGAATAATTTTGGGAAGCCTCTAGCAAGTTTCGCTTGAGGTCTGTTATCATCCCAAAAATGCCGCACCATTTTTGCTACACTAACTTTGCTTCTCCTGAGACCTTGGCGGCATTACAGAAAACAAGTGCAGAAACGAATGCACTCGATCGTGGTAAAAGCGTTCCTGAAACCCCTCGTTCCTATCCCGTGGTCGAAAAAGAATCACCTTCAGGAGTTTCGGACTCGACATGGGATGTGTGGATTGCCTCTCAGATCTTAGATTCTGCAGCTGCTCTTCGCAAAACTATCTCAATCAATGGTGCTCTTTTTAATTTTGCAAACTTCGGTGCGAGTTTATACAGTAGGTGTTTTCAGCATGTCAACTTGTCTGCAAATTTCACCGATAAAAAATCCAGTAAATGCAGAAAAAACTGGAAATCTAACAGAAGAAACACGAAAAATTTCTCAGTTTTGCTATATATGTTTCTGACTATGACGAGTGTGCTTGGTTCTCAAGCTTTTGGATCAACGCAGGAAAAATGTGAGCCCTATTTCGACGGCAATCACCACTACTCAAAGTGCGAAATAGCCGAGAAGTTTCTGGACAAGGAAGAAGAACTGTTAATTAACCGACCAAACACCCCGTCAGGTTGCGAAAAGTGTGTACAAAAAGTAACTGCACACGAAGCGAACCATCACGTGCAGTTGGAGTTCAAAACTATCGCTATCCAAGTTAGTAATTCAGGTTTTGAAAATTATTTTCCTTGATTTTATCCGCAATAGGATAAAGATTACTAACAAATATATCAGTTTAGGTGAAAAAAAATATAGTTTTTATGTTTTGCAGTTTGTAATTTTTTTTGAATTGTAGGAGAGTTCGAGGGACAAATTCAAACAGTGCCATACATGTCTGTGCGGGGTGCTGGCGGTCTACGATGGGAGTTTCCTGATCGGGGAGTGGTGCTACGGACGCTTCACCAGCAAGTACTTGACATCCAACGGGAGGACTCTCACCTTCGTGTACAGGACTGAGAAGGACACTACTAAGCCAAACGCCACTTTTCACCTGGTGGTCAAACCCGTTCCACGTAAGCGAATCTTTGCCCCTCAATTTGTATTTGATACTTCAGTTTCACGAGATATTCCCATTTCATGTACTGATTTTCTGGGAGTGGGGATGGGAAAGGGCTTGATTGGAATATATAATAATTGCACGCAAGAGTAGTACCTTGGAGCTTAATCTACACCTTGGAGCTTAATTTTGATCCTATAAAGTGTGTGTAATATTGCCTTAAACTATTTTTTTTCTGTAAGAAAAGCTGGTTTTATCTGTGCAAATTACAGTTTTTATTATTGCAAATTACCAATTCGTCTTATTACAAGCGTTATAATATTACGCATTTCCTGTTCTGCTGAAATAAAAACTGACGGTTGAACAACCCTGGGCACTACCCTAAAGCCTCTACTAGGATATTACGAGTGTTCCTGTAGGAAAGAGCATTGCGTAAAAATTATTGCCCTAACTCAGAGAAAATTGTTTATAGGTTTTAAGTTTTCTAGCTCTATTTTTTTATTATCTGATGTGGCTAGGGGTAATGGGTATGTTCAAATCGAATGTGGTAATGGTTTAATCAAACAGTGTTAATGATCAACTCAAATGTAGACTCTTTTCAGGTTAAAATTTTGGTTAACAAAATCACTTGCATCATTTGATAGCTTGATTTGTATTGTATTCAAATTATTTTGCTCCTCCGGCAGAATTAGACTAAAGAGTGACGGCGAAGTTCCTAGATTTAAATCCGGCCAGAACTCATTTTTACAAACTGAAAGTTTTCTTTTTTAAAAAAATGTCGACCTAATTTCGACATATGGTGTCTGTAGGTTTTGTTAGCTTAGTTGCCACATCATTCGAGAAAAGCTTCTGGATTTTTTTTTTGATATTTATTTGTTTTCCAGGAAAAATTGAATTGTCAGACTTTCTTTTGTCTACTTATTTTTTCAGCTATTTTTCCAAATCATGTTCGAAACTCAAAGCGTGTATGACAGTCATCATTTTATTTCGTCAACTTACCTACTTATATTTTGATAGTATTTATTTTTTGTTTATTTTGTTTGGCACATAATACTAAAGGCTTATTTAATGCTGGTATTGTGTTTCCCGACTATTTTTCTGAAATCAAGTTTTTCGATTTTGAAAAAAAAAACATTTTCAAGTATCTTTTTCTAATTTCGATTTCCATCTCATTTTCTATTCACTTGCTTGTAATGATATGCTTGCGTTGTATCGCAAGTGGTGCGAAATTCCGCGTTGCCTCCGTGTAATGAAATGAAGCCATGAAAGCGACAAACTCGCGTCGGCGTTGTTTAAAATATTGAAAGATTTCCCCATTGAAAAAACTTCTAAATTTGAAGTGGCGTGAAACAGGCCAGATGCATGTGATGCTAATACAAAATCAGCAAAGCTTTAAAAATGGGACATTTTTTGTCCATCTAATTTCTGCTTCAAAAAAGTTCCTCAGATCAGAGACGCGGTGTTGTTTTTAATTGTGAAAGTAAGCTTTTATCTCAAGTACTTCGGAAGTAAGTGGTCTGATCAGGGGTGAGCAATGCTGAATACATGTATACCAATTATGTTCTCTTATATTGATGGTTCCACGTAATTTCTATGTATAGACAGTGCGTTACGAGGCGGATGAAAAAGAGGATATTATATATTTAGAAATTACGTGGAACTAACCATTTGAGTTATTTTTTAATTCATTTTTGATTTAAGCGCATGCGTAAAAGTTAATTACCTTAATTAGCACGAGGACGAGATGAAAGTTTTTTTTATTATACCTGACTGTCTGCTGTTATTTGCGCATGTGCTTTCTTTCAGCTTGTCGAAGAAAGTAAATGAGTGGTAGATTGCTCTTCCGGACCCAAAAAGCTTCGCTTAAAGAGGGGACTTTTTAATTATCATCTTACGCGTCGTATTTAGCATTGTTTTCGTTTTTTTTTGCGCTTGCAAGATCAGATTTTTCAGCAATTATGGCGGTATATTCGTCTGTTGACATGTCTAAAAGCGTCGTTTGGTCTTCTTCCTCTTCCAAATTATGTGCCAGTTTTTGATTGTGTGAAGAAGGCGTTTGAAGTTACGGTCAAGGAGTTGGTCAAAGCCGATCTGAGTATTTCCTTGTAAGTGGTATAATGGGAATGAGTTTTCAGTCATTTAAGCTGTATGTATGTTTTCCGAATTTGAATTATGATTTTTGGGAGATTTGAGTATTGATTTTTTTAGTAAGTTGATCTCAAATTATTAGCCTATCGGAAGGTAAAGTACGCGCTCTATAACCAATATTTCAGTTGGTGTTAAAAATGGAGTTTTATTCTATGTTTCGAGCCTGGATCGAGCAGAGGATGTTCCAGTGAAGAAGAAATAACTATTGGTTCAGTTTTCTCAAAATAGACAAGTCGTATTGAAAAAAATTCTTTGATTATCTTGATGATGTATTATTTCCAACTGCCTGTTAGCAATTTTTTAAATCGTGAGGTTGAGTTAACTTATATGTACTTAAACTTCGTACGTGAAACGTGAAATTTCAATTTCTTTAATGCGTGCTTCAAAAAACTGGGATGATGAAGAATTAGACTGAAAAAGCCTGTTACCATCTAGCGAAACTTTTGCGGCTTACCATCTTATCCGAAATGACAAGAAACAATTGATTTTGATTTGCCTGTTGTATTGTGTGTTGAGAGCTGTATTGTGTATTCTATCAAAATTCCATACCATTTTTTTCATCGCGATATTTAAGCGATGTTTTGCTATTTTGCGATCCAAGTAAAAGGTCGTCGACACAAATTACATATGCAAAAGTGTGTCATTATCCCGAGAAAGTAGCAAATGATTAATGTGTTCCCCATTTCACATTCATATGGCTTCAAAACAAAAAGAACAAAAGTGTTACAACTCATTTTGAATCTTAAACTTTTTCTCTCAAGCTGCAAAATGGATTTTTTTTTCAGTTGAGATAACTTAAAGTGTATAATAGGCTTATTTGTTATGATGCAAGTTGCTTGCTTTTAGAAATGAAAATGCAAATTGAATAAATGACGAATTCAAGGGTGTTAGGAAGTACTAATGTGATGCATAGAGGAAATGTAAACTTGAGGCTTCAAGTCAATTTTGAGAGAAGAGTTAGCTTAAATTAAGCCGGTTGACGTGGGTTGATTTATTCAATCGAAGTGCGATATCAATTACAAAACATATTATTGTAATGAGAATTGACAACATCTTGTGATGATGATGCTGGAAAATGAACTTTGAATAAATAAATTTGTTTTCTCATTACGCATTGAGTAATGAGTCCCTAGATCGATAACTGGATTATTGAAATCTAGTTCAAGTTAAGTTGTTTACAAGTTAAGTACGATGGTATTTTGTTGTTCCCTCAGAATAAACACTAAATGTTCGATGTCAAAGGCCTGCCTGTCAATTTCACAAACAATTATTATTTTTTATGTTTTGTTTTCAATCACATGTTCGTGCTGTTTTTGGTGAAAAGTTGATTTTGTGGCGCCATATGCTTTTTTCCTAGACCAAATGGTTATTTATATTTGATTAAGAAATATTGCGTTGCGAGTGTTTTTGTTTCCTGAGTTCGCTGACCTCGTATTATGCGATCATGGCCTACTTAAAGGAGAAGGGAGCAAGGTTTATTCACACCATTAAGCAGAGGCAATTAGGTGAAAAGGTTTATTTCACACTACGTGATCGAGCGTTTCCGGAAACTAAGTACCACGGAGAATCGCGTTTAAATTAGCTAAATAAGGAGCAGAAAATATCCTCATAAAACGAAGGAAGCTCGAGGAAATTTTTCAGGACGATATGATTTGACTACTGGTTGCAGAAATTGGCTGCACAAAAGTCACGATAGAAATTAATTGCACGGAAAAAGATTCCGAGGATAAAATCCAATGGGCTAAAATTGGAAAATCTGTTGGGATTGGGTAATTTATCTGGGATCAAGATAGGTACAAAACAATTGAAGTCATTGGGAAGGAATAATTGCTATAGTAAGTCAGATAATACAGGCAGTATATGTAATTGATTGCAAATTGTAAGCATAGTAAAAGGCTGTCCTAATACAATCCTGCCGGCATCATTGATTAAGTGAATTCACATATTGTTTTCATAAGATTCAATTCCTCCCGTTTTTGTGTTAGCTTCAATATCCGCTCCCCCACCCCTGTTTTCTCATTCGAAAGGCGAAATGGGTTGTTCCTTTCTGAGATTAAATGGTGACAATGCTTCAGTTGAACCAATCAATACTTGGCACAGGGAAAAAGATAGAATTAAAATCTGAGGTCGAAAGGTAGTAAGTAGCTAAGCTGAGCCTGCTCGAAGGAGACAGGGGACCCAATCGAATTCCTTGTATTCGTGTTCATGACCTCAATGAGTAATTAATTAATGCCTCAGTGTAAGCTGCTAAGCATAAAAAGGAAATTGTCATTTTATTGGGCTCGGGGTTATCGAACATTAAGATTTTAAATGAAATAAGTCTGACTTGCAATGAAAGTATTTGGAAAAAAGATTCGTGTTGTGTAAGTAGTATAGAATGTGCCGACTAAAGTCATTTTAAAATAACATAGTGAAAAAAATTGGATAGTATATGTTATTCCTTTTCGGTTTTTTCATCCGTCTTCGGGGGATTTTTCAAAATATTTTTGAGTAGGTGGGAAAACTGATTATGCTTTTTAAGAGTCTTGAACGTAGTGAATACTTTTGAATAGGTCTTGGTGATTTTTTATGGAGCCTAGGAAATTAGACGACAAGAAATTAGACGACCGTAAAAAACGGAATTTACGGACAACCAGTATTTACTCAGCCAATAGTTAATTTAAGTCTGCAAACAAATTTCACGCAATTTATTGTCTAAATTGGACAACCAGTATTGACTCAGCCAAAAGAAAATTTAAGTCTGTAAACAAATTTGACGCAAGTTATTGTCTAAATTCCTTTGTTTTCTGATCGTCTTATTTGCTTGTCGTGTAATTTCGTTTTTTTTTCAGGACAAACTAAAAAATTGTTCATGCTCAAATTTGATTT